GGGTAAATGATCTAAAATAGAAATGTTATTTTTGGAATCATGATAGCTACTACATTTTATTCTCCCCCCAAAAAACTGCTTCTGCTTTTGCTTTATATGATTATTAAAAATAGAATCCACAATTACAATGCCAATGCATTTTGGTTTCTTCCTACGGCAGACACGCTATCTTTCCAATGCTACTGACATGGGAAATTACATGGTTTTCTAATCTTGCCAGCAATCAACACTAGTCTTGAAACACTGCACTAAGCATTCRAGTCAGGACTGTATCTGGTCTAAATTATCCTCATTCTATTGATGACGGAGCTTGGACTACGGGGAGCTGTGAACTGGTCCTCTGTCTGACAGATTAATGTCTGAGTGCCTGATCCAAAACCTGATGAAGTCGCTGCAGATCTCGCTTCTTATTTTGGTGGGATTTGGATCTGAAATTTAGGCCTGGATTTAGCATATGCTTAACTTTAAACACCTGCCTATGCCCCAAGGAAGTCAATGTGAATCAAGCACACCTCTCCCTTGCAATGCCTTCTTAAGTGCTTTGCAGAATCTCAGTGCAGGTTAGAAAGGCCATGAATTATACAACATACTAGCAATCTGACTCACCACGTATACTTTGAAAAAGCCTAGAAGAGGTAGAATAAAATAAATAGCTTTTGCAAGTCACAGGCTATACCAAAGCTTGGAACTTCCAGTTTAGTGAAGGAGATGAACAAAGTCCCTTGGCAGTTTTTTTTCCTGCAGAAAGAGATATCCACCTGGACAATCACCWAGTCTTTTCCTTCTCCGTTTTCTATCCTTGTCCTGTAATGAGTTCCCTAAAAGAAGTCCTCATTTCCAGCATCCTCACACACAGAGGTGAGGAAGCCAAATGGATCAATCGCATCAAATATCAACTCTAGCCACCAGAAGATACTTCCACCTTTCCCTCTGGCGTCTGCACACTCAGCTGCCCAAGTAACACCTTTGCAAATCAGAAGCACCTCTTGAACTTGACCACATTTGTTGTCTGGATAAGTAAGCAATAGGACACACTGTCCCGAGTTCAGCCTCTCCTTTGCTCGTGCATGYTTATATGCTGCTCCAAGGGTTTCATAACTGAGAGAGCAGAAGAGTGGGCACATCAGCTGGTAACAGTTCAGAAACAGATGTACATTCCTGCACAAAACTCCAACGTTAGCATATCCAATTACTCTGAAACAGCGCTCCGCTCCAACCATCTTATCCCTAAAGCCTTCTTCTCCTTACCTCCTGTTCCTCTCACCGCTTCTTTGCTTTTGATTATGAACTTGTCATCCAGGGTCTGTCCTTAGGGAAATGTCCATGCACCACGTCTGCAGTTCCAGCTGCTGGAACTCAACACACAGAATAGCAAAACAAAGTCCTCAAAGAGGGAGTCCTCAAAGAGCACTAAAAATGACTCCTCTTGCAAAGACAGCATGTGAAAAAAACYGGTGGATGCTGCACAATCAATGAGCAACTACTCTTTTTTCTAAATCACAGTAAAGACAAGGAAAAAAATCAGTACAACACAGTATACTGGACTGTATACTGTACAGAGGACACAGTACCTGGACACAGCAGAGGCCACGCACAGCTGGATGAGCTTTGCACTTCTGAAGGAAGAAAGGGTGCTTTTCTCTAGAGTAGTAGGTAGATAACAAGGCAGAAAGCACAGCAGCATCTTTCATATTTCATACTGCTCCTAGAGATTTACATCCTTGGCAGATCCCTCAAATGAAGGGGAACTGGAAGAGCGGTCAGTGTTGGGATCTCCAGGGCTTTGAAAATCCATCCCACTTACTGCCTGGGCACCAAACCTTCCCGAGCTTCACTGGGGACTAGGGGGAAGGGCAGCAGGTGACTGATCCCCAGACACTCTCCTCCACAGCTCTTTGCTGTCACTGCCAACAGGACAAGCGGACTACAGACTTTAAATTGTCAACAACCACTGAATTGACAACAATCATTTTCAATTGAGAAAATAACAAAGTCCAGTCAATGTTTATTGTATTCTCCTGGTTTTTAGGAGAATGATAATACGAGAATACTAACATCATAATTAATGTTACAGTTATTTTAGAGTGGCATTAAGCTTTCACCAGAACTGTCTCTTTTCTATATCACAGTTATTTCAWAACTTCTTTCCTGCCTTGCTATGTAATAGAGCCGCACTCACCATCCTCCTTTGCAGGGAGCTCAGGGGTGCTGGGGAACATGGTACCTTTGCACCACATGGCCCTACCACAGACCTTCCCAAGTCCCTCTTCCTTCAGGAGACCCAGATCACGTTTCACCAGGCTCTGCGCACGAGTAGACTCGGCCTTTGATCTGCTCCAAGGGAAGATATTTGCAGTATTGTCAACACCGCACTTCGCTCTGGCACTAAGTGCTGCTGAGGGACTCCGTGGCCGTAAAGCGCGCACACRTACGCGGCAGCTCGGGAGCGATCCGAGTCGGAGCCGGGCTTATAGACTTTGTAATTGTGATACAGCCTCGTTTCACCATAAATTTCCTCTAATGAAGCCTGCCTGAAACTAAAAAGCTTTGCGCGTTTGGAGGTTACGCACAGCAAAGGCCCCCTTAGGGAGAAACTCTGCGGTGCTTTGTCGTGCGAGCAGTGCTGCAGGCTGCTCGCAGRAGCCAGGCAGGGGGCTGGGGCTGCTCGCTTATTTATTTGATATAGCCCCAGCGTGCACAGGAATGGGAGGAAAAGGCGGCTGTGCAAGCCAGGCTTATGAAACCAGTCATCCCCATGCCAGCCTACAAGCAGAGCCTGCACGCAGGACTCCACCAGGTGGGCAGATGCCGTTTGCCACCACCGTGTGCTCTAGCAAGACACCCAGAAACCCTTAGCGACTTCGGGTAACGCTCTCTGTGCACTGGATTTGCATCGACTCATTTGCACTCAGCTCTGCACAGCGGCTTTGAGCAGCCCTGTGTCCTCTGCCACACAACCAGCCTATGCAAATCCACTGCAGTTTGCCACCATAAATTTGGTGCAAGCAAGCAGAGGACCCAATCTCATTAGTAGCTGACCTGTCTGCTCAGGAGATCTTGCTCTGTACAGCTGGAAAAGCAGAGATTCCCCTCCAATCTTCAGTGCCGGCTTCCCTAGCACATTGTGTGATGGTTTCTCTTAATACTTGGGAATGATCACAATGACTAGAATAGAGAACATCTAAATGCTTTAAGTACAAAACTTAATGCAAATTAATTGAATGCAAATTATGAAGGCCGTTTATGCCCTCGGAAGCGCACTTTTACATTGACACAGTAAAAATCAGGGACGGTTTATTTTGCTTAGGGGACGGGAGCGGAGCCGCTACCACCGTTAAGCGCCGTCGTTTCCCACCCTGCGCCGGCTTTGCGGAGCGCGGCCGCAACGTAAGCGGCACGAGCGCCCGCCGGGAGCCTCAGAACCGCCGGCTCGGGGCCTGAGCGCGAGGCACCCGCGCTGCCCGGCTCGGCGGGGTCTTAAATTGGATTAAAAATCTATTTGCAGAACTGCTTTGCCTTCCGACTTCTGTGCTGCACCTGAAAACCTTTCCCTTTGAAAGCAAACACAGGCTGTCCCCAGGGGCAGCCCGGGGAAGTCTTTCCACTATAAACATTACCTACCCGTAGTAGAGTCAGCCCCGGGCAAGCCAAAATTCCTTCTCCTACCAAAAAAGCGCTTTCCAAACAAGCCAGACATTATTTTTTCCATTAATGAGTGTTGATACCTACTGGAAAACTTCGCAAAGCAACCTCCTCCAAACTAATTCTTCTCATTCAATATCTACATTTTACAAGCTTCTTTGGTCCTTTTTATAACAAAAAATATTTATTGAAAACATGATCTTTGCTGCTCAGCAATGCGTCTGCTCCTGCAGCTTCRGCTTTAACTGAAATCAGAGGTCCAAATCTGACTTTACTCAGCACTAACTCCACAGAAGCAAGCAGAGTTTTTCCCACATTTTCCCTGGTGTGATGGAGAGGAAAAATAGATCCCTCCTCTTCTGTTGGATACATTAGAAACCTTGTAAGTACTGCTGCAGTTTCTATGCCTCAGAATAGCACAATTCCAACAGCGGGACAGACTGGGGGAAAAATAACCTCCTACCTATCTCAGGTCTTGTTCCCCAAAAGTATTTAGTTTTTAAGGGGAGAATAGGGGGAAATGGGGGAGAAAAATTGCAGGTGGATGGGCTGGGTGTCCGGGTTCCCCAGTGTTTTATGGAAACCATGGGCTGCTTTCTGGATGACCCATATGTTGGGTCCTTCTGGGTTTGCCCAGGAGGGTCCTTCCCCATTGCCTTGTCCCATGCCAATGGAAACGGTGCCTGGTTATCCCGCTCCGGGCCCGGTGGGCACTCRGCTCCCCGAGCTCCGAGCGCCCGGAGAGCAGCTGAGCACCCCRGAAAAGCCCAGGAGCCCCCTCCCTGGCTGCAAACCCTCACTTGGCCGGGGGGTGCCCGGAGGACGGGGGCGGCCGCAAGCTCATCCTTTATTCGAGGTGCATTCCCCGGATTTTCGTTAAGTGTAACATAAAACTGTGAAAGTTTAGCAGGGGAAAAGCTTTCCTCCCACTGACCTGGCTGGCCAATCAGGAGGGAGCCCCGCACCTCCCTCACTTCTGACAACTATTTAGCAACTGAGCTCAGCTAAAGTTTCCAAAAAGTTAGAATAACTTCCTCTCTCGGAGACCTCAGGTTTTTTTTTTCTTTTTTTTTCTTTTTTTTTT